TTCCCTGTTGTTGCCAACAACAGGGTGTTGGCCAAGTTTAGAGCAGTGTCTATTGTTGAGCTGTACTTGAAGGAAGGCTCTGTCACTGTCTCCCATTACGTGCTCCTAGAGTGTTGGAGTCGCGGGAGACAAGCCTCATGCTCTCATGGTCAGCAACTCTCGTTTATTTAGCAAGATACAACCCCTTTTATAGCCTGCAGTGTTAGATACATTTCCTGCTAGGATACAGCAAAATCATTGGTCAGCCCGTGCTGACGCAGGGGCCTCCCAAGCAACCGTGACCGCCTCCTGCTTCAACATGCCTCGACATGTCCCGGCTTGTCCCAGCTTGCCCAAGCATTACCGTTGCGCTATCTCAGCAAGATACCGTGGCGCCATCTCAGCAAGATACCGTGGCGCCATCTCAGCAAGATACCGTGGCGCCACCTTCAGCAAGATACCGTGGCGCCACCTTCAGCAAGATGTACATCCTGTTTCTTGAGCAACTCAGGGTGAACATTAACCACAAGATTAGCCATTCTGTTGTTAAGCTCTCTACACTTCCCCCGTTTTCTTTAGTAGCAAGCATAGCCATATTATGATTAAAGGTATTCGATATTTTTTGCAAACACTGCATAATACATGGTAAAAGCAAGATTGCAAACAAGATTATAGCCAACACCAAAACAATTTTTTCTATCAAAGTAATTAACCAGGGAGATAATCCAAAGGACGCTAACCAGTTTGTGAAAGGATCACTTGTCTCTTGTAATTTTCGCATTTGTCTTTCAATAGCGCCAATTGCTTATGAATGGAATTAGAGTGATCAGAGAGACTCATACAACACATTCCATCAAACTCTTCACATCCATGTCCCTGTTCCAACAACAAAAGGTTCTGCAGTGTTGCATGTCTTACACAGTCAACATTAAAACAAATCAGGAATTGCCTTCGATGTCACCTGCTTTATAACACTACCATTGTATTAAAATTTTTCTAGCTTTTGCCTTAGCATTTTCTAGCGGCTACTGCAAATTTCCATATTCTGACATCTCTTTTACAAGTGACAAATCTATACAATACAAGGTGCAGTTTCTTATTAGCAACTAGCTAGTAAATACAGGTGGTTTTATACACAAAATCACAACCTCTAATAATAGCTACTTTACAAGCACACATATTCAGGATGTTACTTTTCAGTTGCCCCCAAGTGATGTTTTGCAGTTATTTGTTCTTTCTCTTCCTCTATCTCATTCTGCTTGGGGTAATCACGGTCAGCTCCTGTAGCTGAGGCATCAGGTTTATCCATTCGTCTGTCCAGCTCATGGCAAGGCTTGACAAACTTTGCAGGCAGTCACCATGGACCTGTAGGCAGGAGGACACAAATATACCGCCTCCCCCAGGTTATCAGTTCTTCAGAAGTAGACAGGTTAAAGTTAAATATAACATCATTACTCTCTCTCTTCCCCCCTCTTTTTTTTTTTTTTTTTTAGGTCCCTGCAAAAGCCATCATTACCATCATTACTCCCACTACAGTCCCACGTACAGAACAAGGACCCTGTGGAGACTAACAGCAAACCAGCTCCGAGAAGCATCACTGCAGTGCGAGGTGGCAGGCTCAAACTTAGCGGGCGTCCCCGCAGAGGCTCTGCCTCACCCACATCGTATGAGGCTTGGGCTTTTATACTGACCAAAATGCACACTCATTCCAACACAGGTGGCCAGCCTGTGCTGGAAGAAGTGGCCAGCAGTATCTACAGAGGTCTCCAAGGGTTGACAGAAACCTGGACATACTTATATTTACCAACTTCTAGTACATGAGTATCACAGAGAAACTGTATGGGCTCTCCCTGTCAATTGCAAGAAAAAATCATAACATATAGAGCTTCCCACTCTTTAGCCCCCGCTGTGCAGTAAACATAGGATATGCAAAGATGCCCATTGCAGAAAATTCCCCAGTAATGATCACATATCTGGTTACCCATTGTTACAACTGAGCGTCTCCGGGGCCAGTAAGTCTGAGCAGACCCACCCGGGAGACAGAGTCAGGGTCTGGAAGCAGAGGATATAAATCTGGCTCGGATTCAGGGAATTCGGGGGCTGATCCTGCGCCGAACTCGGGGTCTCCGTTGCTCGCAGCTGGGTCTTTCTTATCAGGTGTATCTCGTTCGGTATGTGGCCATCTGCAGACCTGGCTCCTCTGTGACTGAGTTAAATTTTTTTTTTTTTTTTTTTTTTCACTATAGGGCGTAGTGGATTGGAGAGGCTCGCGGTTCCTTTAAATCTCCCGCTAGCGCATGATCTCTATTTTCTACTGCGTGCTTCACAGTGGCGCCGCCATCGATCCGGCGCTGAGGCACCGTCCTCTTTCTTTCGGATTCCTCGACATTTATCATGCGTATCCCTTCTAATATACTTTCTCTGTCCTTTTCAAAGTCCCTACTTTCGGAACTGGGGTGGTGGGGGAGCAGGGGGTTACACCTCCTCCGCGGCACCTTCTGATGGAGGGGGGAGAAAAGGAAAGGGGGGGTGGGGGGGGGGGGGTGGGAAACCCTGTGCTCCTGCGAGCTGCGGGGGGGGAACGAGTTGTAATCTTCCCCCGGTTTCAACCGACCGGGGACGTCTGTTCCTAGTTTCTCCATTGCTACCGCGGCAGTTTTCTTTTCCGCCTTGTCTCTTTTTATACAGTTCATTACTTCCCTCCGTGGTTTACCGAGTTTCTTTGCCTTTTTATAATCATTAAGCACTGAGTCAAATAACTCATCACCAAACTTTCGCCACTCACTCTCCTCAAATATTGTATTAGGATCTGCAAAATATCTTAGTCTTCCCTAGCCACTAGACCTGCTAGCTGCTTTAGAGTCTCAGGCTCAATTCCCCGCTTTTATAAAAAGCGCTGTAAAAAGTTCAGGGCTCAGTTCCCCGCTTTTATAAGAAGCACTGTAATAAGTCCAGGGCTACCTCTCGGTCCATTTTCATGGCCAGCCTTTTCCGGATCGTCTTCTTCTGGGTCGTCCTGTAACCTCGGTCTCCGGATCGGCCTCCCGACGCAGCAGTGTCTGGTTCGCCCCAGCGGCGGATTCTTTCGGCTAGTCGAAGCACCCGGGTCCGTCACGCCACCGCAGCAGCATTGCCCGCGCTTCCCGGCCGCTGCCGCCGGCGCCGCTCACTCGCCGTTCCGGGTCCCCGTCGACCGGGGCCCTGTATCCGGGTCCCCGTCGACCGGGTCCCTGTATCCGGGTCCCCGCTAGTCGGGGCCCTGTATTCCGGGTCCCCGCTAGTCGAGTCCCTGTAAAAAGATCATACGCCGCTTGCCTGTCCATATTTACCGGATCCGTTGCACCCTCCAGGCGTCGGCAGCGCGTAGCAGCAGAGCCAGCCGATGCTGCACTCTGGGCCAAAGCAGAAAGCAAGCAGCACACCGATGTGTCACTGCAGTCCTGCAGAAGCCGTCTTTAAGTCGAGACCTGCACCCAACGCAACTCCTTCGGGTCCCTGTTCCCCGTTCGGGTCCCTGTTCGGGCGCCATTTGTTGGAGTCGCGGGAGACAAGCCTCATGCTCTCATGGTCAGCAAGTCTCGTTTATTTAGCAAGATACAACCCCTTTTATAGCCTGCAGTGTTAGATACATTTCCTGCTAGGATACAGCAAAATCATTGGTCAGCCCGTGCTGACGCAGGGGCCTCCCAAGCAACCGTGACCGCCTCCTGCTTCAACGTGCCTCGACATGTCCCAGCTTGTCCCAGCTTGCCCAAGCATTACCGTTGCGCTATCTCAGCAAGATACCGTGGCGCCATCTCAGCAAGATGTACATCCTGTTTCTTGAGCAACTCAGGGTGAACATTAACCACAAGATTAGCCATTCTGTTGTTAAGCTCTCTACACTAGAGAAGCAAGGCAGGAAAGTATGGATTGTGATGGGGCCGGTGAGGAGGCTGGAAGGCAGTGGCTGAAGTGCTGAGCCCTGAGGCTTGTGACCAGTGGTGGGACAAGAGGATGTGGGCACAAGGGAAAAGAGATGGAATTTCATGGGCAATGAAGGCAATCTTTTTTCAGTGTGAGCATGGTCGAAGAGTGGAAGTCATTGTGGAATCTTCATGCTGGGGGCTGCTGAGTACCCAAATGGCTATTGTCCTGGACAAGCCGCTGTGGCTGGCCCTGCTTGATAGGGGAAGTTGAAGCTGCTTCTCTCCAAATCACATAGGTCCTGCCTAACTACATGATTCTGTGGTTCTGATTGCTGGGAGGGCTGGAGACCCATGCTGGGTAGGAGAGTTGGTCAATTGTGTGGTGATGCAGGGAGGTTTTATCAGAGGCATGCACAAGGAATCTTTGCAAACGTGTATCCTTTGTTTGAGCCTGGGTGAGGGGTGGGCTTAGGTCACTTCTGGAAGCCCCCAGCTAGCAGTCTGTCCTGTTGCTGGTTGTGCTGGCTCATTTACTAGGAGAGGCCTTGTGGCACTTCTTCATCCACCCCAATGACGCGTTGAGCTATTGCTTTGTGCCATGTCAAGTTGTAAGGGCCTTGGTAGAAGAAAGGAAGAGGAGGAGTCACTAAGTGGAATTCAGGATAATTTTATTGAGGCAAAAGAATGAAAACGTAAAAGCACAGTGTACAAGGGAAGGGGCCTTAGGTGTAAGTAGGGTGACAATCTTATGAGGTCCTCTGCAATGCAGCAGATTTTGGCAGAGGATGGAGGTCTTCCTGCCCTGCACTAGGAGCACCCCACTGGAGGTACTCTGATAGCTTTTTGCATGTGATGTGGTGGTTGCAGCAGACAGTAGTGGACACAGCTGATGGGGTCATGCAAAGAAAGCGGTAGGAGAAGAGGAGGAGGTCCATGAGCCATGTTTTCAGAGAGGCTGGGCTGGTAACCTACCCAGATTCCTCTCATGATGCCTTGAAAGGAGGAGGTGTGATAGAAAGCCCATGTACTAGCATTGACCCCGACAGGTGTTCTCAATTAATGGTGTCGAATCCAGGCTGCGGCATTTCATGTCAGATCTTGTAGGGAAGGCCCTTAGCAGATGTTGTATCCCCTTCCTCTGCCATAGCAGCCAAGGCCTCCAAAGCCGTAGACAAGGCCGTAGCCGAAGCCCCCAGAGGAGATGGGCACTCCCTGGGCGCTGAGGACGTTGCCCACGGCAGCGGATGAGGAGGATCCGACGGCGGTGCTCTGGGGGAAGGAGCTGAGGATGGGTCCTGGCAGGGTGACCAGCACGGTGGAAGGCTGGATGACGACGCGGGAGTCCTCGCACTGCCTGACACAGGGCTCGTTGCAGCTGTTGGCCAGTGGGGTGGGTCCGCAGGGGCGGCAGAGGTCGTAGCAGGCCATGTCTGTGGTGTGGAGGGGCCCTGGGAAGGGAGAGGAGAGGAGAGGAGAGGAGAGGAGAGGAGAGGAGAGGAGAGGAGAGGGGAGGAGGGAATGGACAAGAGGGTGTGGGGAGAGCGGCGTGTGTGGGGGTGCGAGGGGTTGTGGTGCGGGAGGGCGAGGCAGTGGGGAGGCTGGTGTGGGGCTGTGGGGCTGGGGAGGCGTGAGGGGTGCTGAGGCTGGGGCAGAGCGTGCTGGAAGAGCCGGGGCAGGGGGGCAGGAGCAGAGGGCAAGGGGCTTGAGGCTCACCTTGTTGAGTGTGCAGGAGAAGGCGTCAGCAGAGGCGAGTGAGGGACAGAGGCTCTGGGCCGGCTTTTATGCTGGTCCCCGAGGGGCGGGACAGCCTTTGCGCATGGCAGCATTTGTCAGCAAGCAGCTGGTGCGTGCCACAGCCTGGCAAGTCATGAGCTGTGTTTGTGTTTTCCTTCCCAGAACACTCCCTTTGCATGTCCTCCTGCTGAGGACGTGTCCATCTGGCCCTGGCGGCCGCTTTGAAGTGTAATAATTTAAGGCCAAATACTTCGTGTTTGTGCTGCTTTTTGGGACACTTGGCAGAAGTTGCAACCAAAGTGCTTGAGAGGTGGGGTGGTGTGAGTGAGGTCATCCTGTGGCACTCATTAGGTGTGGTTTGCAAGTGCGTTGTGAAGTGGGGGCCCCATGTCATCACAGCCCTGTCAGGCTGGACTGGGCTTTAGAGCTGTGGTGGCTGTGAGGGGCTGCCCCTTCAATCGCATTCAGTCCCTCCCCATCTTGCTGCCAGCTTGATAAGCCTGTCTTCAGGCCTGTCCTTTCCTGTTGGGTGAGCTCTGTGGGTGTCCTGGGTCCCAGTTGTTCTTCTAAGGTTGCCAGCTGATGTACTGGGTTTATGGAGTTAACTTAAGTTTATTTAAGTTATTATGTATTTAAGTTTATTCAGAGGAAGGAGTGGCAGAAGCAACAAGTGTTGAAATGATCATAATGCTTTTTCTCCATCCCCCTTTGTCATTCTGGGAGAGGGAGTATGTATTTCAGGAGGGGAGCTTAACCTGCAGTAGGGGAGGGCTGGGAGAATCTGTTTAAAAAATTTCTTTTTTTTTTGTTTTTCTCATAATTCTACTCTGTCTTTTGATTTTGATAAATGAATTTCCCCAAGCAAAGTCTGTTCTGGTGGCACAGGAAAACAGTGAGTGATCTCCATGTTGTTATCTCAACTCGGGAGCCTTTTGTCGTATTCTTCTTCTACATAGTAGAGGAAATGATAGAGCAGCTCAGTGAGGACTTTTCACCCAGCCAAGGTTAACCCAGCACAGAGCCCCACGTTTGCAGCAGAGCTGGGTCACAGGCTTATAGAATAGAAAAGATCATAGAAGAGTTTGTGTTGGAAAGGACCTTAAGATCATCTAGTTCCACTCCCCCTGCCATGGGCAGGGACACCTCACACTAAACCATGTCACCCAAGGCTCTGTCCAACCCGGCCTTGAGCATTTCCAGGGATGGAGCATTCACAACTTCCTTGGGCAACCCATTCCAGTGCCTCACCATCCTAACAGTAAAAAATTTCCTTCTTATATCCAATCTAAACTTCCCCTGTCTAAGTTCTAACCCGTTACCCTTGTCCTATCACTACAAACCCTAATGAAGAGTCCCTCCCCGACACCCTTATAGGCTACCTTCAGACACTTGAAGCTGCTCTGAGGTCCCTACACAGCCTTCTCTTCTCCAGGCTGAACAGCCCCAATGTTCCCAGCCTATCTTCAGACAGGAGGTGCTTCACTCCCTGATCATCCTCGTGGCCTCATCTGGGCTTATTCCAACAGTTCCATGTCCTTTTTATGTTGAGGACACCAGAACTGCACACAATACTCCAGGTGAGGTCTCACAAGAGCAGTGTGGAGGGGAGGATCACCCCCTTCAACCTGCTTGTCACGCTCCTTTTGATGCAGCCCAGGATACGGTTGCTTTCTGGGCTGCAAGCGCACACTGAAGCCGGCTCATGTTCATTTTCTCATCAACCAACACCCCCAAGTCCTTCTCCTCAGGGCTGCTCTGAATCTCTTCTCTGCCCAACCTGTAGCTGTGCCTGGGATTGCTCTGACCCAGGTGTAGGACCTTGCACTTGGCTTGGTTAAACCTCATGAGGTTGGCATCAGCCCACCTCACAAGCGCGTCAAGGTCCTTCTGGATGGCATTCCTTCCCTCCAGGGTATCAACTGAGTGGTCCATCCATCAAATTGATGTCGCTCCAATTTAGAGACAAGGATGTCATGTGGGACAGTGTTGAACGCTTCACACAAGTCCAGGTAGATGACATCAACTGCTCTACCCCTGTCCATCAGTTCTGTAGCCCCATCATAGAGGGCCACCAAATTGGTCAGGCAGGATTTCCCCTTAGTGAAGCCATACTGGCTGTCACCAAGCACCTTGTTGATTTTCACGTGCATTAGCATGCCATCCAGGAGAATCTGCTCCAAGATTTTGCCAGGCACAGAGGTGAGACTGACTGCTCTGTACTTCCCCAGGTCATCCGTTTTCCCCTTCTTGAAAATGGGGGTTATATTTCCCTTTTTCCAGTCATTGGGAACTTCACCTTATTGCCATGATTTTTCATATATGATGGCCAGCGGCTTACCAACTTCATTCCCCAGCTCCTTCAGGACCCACGGATGGATCTCATCAGGATCCATGGACTTGTGCACATTTATATTTTAAGATGGTTTTGAACCAGTTCCTCTCCTGCCGTGGGCCCAAGGTCTTCATTCTCAGTCCCTGCCTCTGCCTTCCAAGACTTGGGTGGTTTGGTCAGAGCCTTTGGCAGTGAAGACCGAGGCAAAGAAGTCATTCAGAACTTCAGCCTTCTCCAAATCCTGTGTAGCCAGTTCTCCTGAGAGCTTCATGAGGGGGCCGATGTTGTCCCTAGTCTGTTTTTTGTTTGCTACGTACATGTAGAATCCCTTCCTGTTATCCTCAACATCCCTATCCAAGTTTAATTCTATGTTTAATTCTAAGTTTATTTAGTTCCATGTTTAATTCTAAGTTTATTCACTATGACCCTTTCAGCCCTGCTCTTGAGGAGTTCTTTATCCAATGTATGGTGTACTTGCTCATGTCACATTTGAACAACTTGTCCAGGAGGATGTTGTGAATGACAACAGTTCAACCAGGGCAGATGCCAAGTCTTGTATGTGGGGAGAAGTGACCCCGTGTAGCATGAATATCTGTGAGACCAGTGGGTTAGAAACAGTCTTAGGAGAGAATGACGTTGTGGTCTGTTGTAGAGCAAAGGGACCATGAGACGGCAAAGTACCCTTGCAAGAAAAGGGCCCACGAGTCTCCAGGGCTGCATTCAGGGGTTTTGCAGTGCGTAAGGGGAGGGCAGCATCCCCTACTCATCAGAAATGGTGAGGAGAATCCCATGTGGGATTCATTTCTTGGCTCCCCAGTGAGGAAGGACTTGGACTTTCTGGAGCAGGAGCAGTGCAGGGTCACCAAGAGACTGGAGGGTCTGGATCATAAGAGGCTGAGAAGTGAACCACCCCAGAGAGAAGGATGTGCAGGGTGCCCATCATCAATGGGAATAAAGCCCTGATGGCAGGGAAAGAAGTGGTGGGAACCCAGCTCTTGTCACTGGTGTGCACATGCAGAAGAAGAGGCTGTGGGTATAAGGGGAAAGAGATGGGATTTCATGGGCAAACCAGGCAAGCCGTTTGCCTGTGTGGAAGGGCAAAGAGTGGAAGAGGTGGTGGAGTGTCTGTGCTGTGAGCTACTGAAAACCCAACTGGCCATGGTCTCACACCTGCAGCTCTAGTTGTCCTGTTCATGAAAAGGGATTAAGTCAGCTCCTCTGGAGAGGTTCCTGCTGTTGAAAGTGATTCTGAGGAGACTCGGGCTGGGATGCTGGAAACTTTATTGAGACAAAAGAATGAAAATGTAAGAGCAGCAAAAGCACCAAGTGGAAGTGAGACAGTCTGAGGTACAAGGAGTGCGACCATGAGCAGAAGACTTCTGCTTACAGTTCTTCCTGCCCTGCAGCGCAAGCAGCATAGCAGAGGTCCCCCAATGTTCTTTGACTTGTTAGAAGGGGTTTGCAGCAGAGAGTCCTGGGCACAGGCAAAGAGATGATGCAAAGAAGGAAGTAGTACAACAGGAGGAGGTGCAGGGGCAATATTTTCAGGCATCCTGGGCAGGCCCTGTGCGCTGTTTCTTCTCTTGGTGTCTCAAGATGAGGAGCTGTGGACAGCAGGTCCACATGTCAGGAACTGCCCAGAACTGCATCCTCAGACCTTGCCATGGCTTCGAGGGTTTCGGTGGCTGGCTTCATGCGTGTTGTCAATGGCCCTTAGCAGATGTTGTATCCCCTTCCTCTGCCGTAGCAGCCCAGGCCTCCGAAGCCGTAGCCAAGGCCGTAGCCGAAGCCCCCAGAGGAGACGGGCACTCCCTGGGCGCTGAGGACGTTGCCCACGGCAGCGGATGAGGAGGATCCGACGGCGGTGCTCTGGGGGAAGGAGCTGAGGATGGGTCCTGGCAGGGTGACCAACACGGCGGGAGGCTGGATGACGACGCGGGAGTCCTCGCACTGCCTGACACAGGGCTCGTTGCAGCTGTTGGCCAGCGGGGTGGGTCCGCAGGGGCGGCAGAGGTCGTAGCAGGCCATGTCTGTGGTGTGGAGGGGCCCTGGCAGAGGAGAGGAGAGAATGGAAGAGAGGGTGTGGGGAGAGCAGAGGGCGTGGGCGTGCTAGGGGCGGTGGTGCAGGAGGGCGAGGCAGTGGGGAGGCTGGTGTGGGGCTGTGGGGCTGGGGAGGCGTGAGGGGTGCTGAGGCTGGGGCAGAGCGTGCTGGAAGAGCCGGGGCAGGGGGGCAGGAGCAGAGGGCAAGGGGCTTGAGGCTCACCTTGTTGAGCGCGCAGGAGAAGGCGTCAGCAGAGGCGAGTGAGGGACAGAGGCTCTGGGCCGGCTTTTATGCTGGTCCTGCAGTGCCTGATGGGGCTGAGACAGCCTT